GCCTAAGTAAGATATAAGCCTCAGACTGTCCAATATTGTAGCGCCTCAGACTGTCCAATATTTTACATAATAGACAGTTTTCGGCTTATATCCTTTACGTATATATATTATATAAGATATCTCATATAATATACGAGATATACGAGGGTGCCTCGGTAGCCGTGATCGCTAACGCGTGAGCTTCAGATCACTCAATTTCCCAAGAAATTCGGTTCGATCCCCAGCGGTGGCGGAAAAGAGAGTGATGTCTGATAGGGTTAGTTGTTATCCCTCCGATGGCACGGTGGTTTTCCTCCATCACGAAAACATCATTTGTTCCCTTAGCGGCATCGTAATAAAAGCTATAGAGAGCTTATGTTTGTTGTTGACAATGTACACGACGCTAAATAAAGATTAAACAAAATTCATATACCATATAATACAGAGAGCCACGAGTTAGTGAAGTAGCGATTTCTCTGTTCCGAAATCATATGTATTGCTGCATGCATGAAGACAGTATATGTACATGACCACACAACCTAGGGACAACTACATGTAGGATAATTGTTTGACGAGTATCTGATGGGTTCCACTATGTTGAAATTGAAACGAGACAACGCATTGCTCATAGAACATCTTCATTCCAGCTTAGAGTTTGTACCATCGACGTGCCATTTGTAAGACGCTTTACGATCTGTATTCACACGTACATTTTGTATGCCACGCCGCCGATCAAAATAATTATATTCCTCATAACTCGGTGTTTTTTTTTAAATATCGAGCTGAAATTTGGAATATATATCAATAAAAGTCTAACTAATAACATATCTTCTAATGTCACTTACTTTAATTTTAACAATATTATCTGGCGACGCTTTCTTCACTTTACATGCTAATACACACATGTGCCACGCCGCGATCGTAAAATTCAATTCATCATAAACAGGTCATTTTATCAAATATCAAATTGAAATTTGGTACAGAGGTGTATCATAGTCATATTAACAACATATCTTCTGATGTCGTTTACTTTATTCGGTACTTTTAAAGATTTGTCTGGCGACGCTTTTTGTCACTTGAAGACGCTTGTTGTCGGTTGAAGACGCTTTTAAGGGTGACCCGTATAGGTCATCATGCTCGATGGTGGTTCTCTGACTATGGTAAAAAGATGATACTACTCAACTAAATCCTGTTAATTCAATGTCAGAAACTGTGGTTGCAGCTGTCCGTTCCTGGTCTCAGACGTCTCCAAAGTATTTGTCCATGGATTTGCCACACTTGACTAGACTTTTGGAAAACTCGGTAGAATCGATAGATCTCTGTTGAAACGTCTCCGAAGAACGTGAACTGACTTCCAGTAGAATAGCGAAGTACACAATTATTATCCACCTGTTCAAAGCCTTTCTTAAAAAAATAAATTCAATGTCACGTAGATAAATCATTGTACAATTGTACCTTCCCCGCTAACAAGACCTCAAGGCCTGGCGTCATATTGACTCCACATTTTCACTGACAGAAACTGATGATTTACAATATAACAAATCCGTATCAGCATTGTGGAACAGCCTTCAGACCTACCTCCATAATTTGGATCGTCAGCTGTTTTAAAAAAAATTTGAAAACCCATTTCTTTTAAATTTATAACTCCCAAATGAACGGTAGATATTTCATTTTGTCCTGTTTTACACGACTATGTCTCACTTGAAACATTTTGTGACATTTTTTTCTTTATGAATATTGTAGTTGAAGAACTGATTAGTCAAAGCTTTAGATTTGTTCTATAACAATTGCGCTATACATATTTTATAAATCATTATTAATTATGTAATGTTAATCTTCTTTATACCGGGAAAATTTTACCATAATCAAATTTGGTCTCTTTTGCACTTTGGGATGAGGGCAATTTAGTAATGACACCGAAAATCAGTGGACAATATAACATATCTAGTGATTCACAGAGAACAGATGCGTACACTTGCATGTATTTACTCTCGTTGTTTCGGTTTAATCACTGGTAAATGATCAACCGTTTCCATAGTGCCCTGTGTGAGCCGCTATATAAAAGGGATCTATTGGTCCACAGTTAGCCGGGCACCTACCTGGGTTGTCTGGGATTGCCACCTTCTGCTTTAGATTTTACTATTTTTATTTTATTGTCTTGATGATACACCTCTTTCTTTCTCCTGTCAATTGACACTGAATCGCCGTCTTTGATATTTACATTCATAGAAGCCGCCTATTTTTCCTATTATACAATTATAGTACAAATTAGTAGCTTGGTCTGCACACTTATGGATGTGTAACTTGATCAATCAATTCGCCTGAAAGAGTTTTATCACATAATGTACTGTGTTATCCAGTGAATATACACGTCATATTTTGTTTTGCGCATTAGTCCATGTAGTATGGCCTAGTATCGGCCCTTTCAATTGTGACGTCACGCCAGAACAAGTTCATGGGGTCACAGGTTTAAGAAGTCAAAATGGCGACTTTTTACATTTGAAGGTTGCATGAAAATTGTCGTTTTACAAAGAATAAATACCACAAATCTTGATTATGTGATAAAAAGGATCTTACATGAGTTTCCATTTTATATGAGATTTATGAAACTCGTCCCGAATTTTTCGTTTTAGCTCGCCAGAGACTCGTTTCATGAATCTCATATGAAATGGAAACTCATATAAGATCCTATTATTATATTATGGCCCTTTCCCGAGGGAACTGTTCTCTTATAGTGTTGTCTGGAGAGGTATAGTACCCGAGCCGTTAGGCGAGGGCACTATACCTCTCCAGAAAACACTATAAGAGAACTGTTCCCGAGGGAAAGGGTCATAATAGATTTGGTACATCACATGACTGTCATTTGACAATAAAAAGTAGCATATTTAATAATTAACAACAAATGTCAATAAGATAATTGTTTGAGTAGATCTCTCCTTTTTTGTTTCGTATTCAATTCACTGGATTTAATCATCACTAGTCTCAGCGGTCCAAAAAAAAAGGTATAGTGCCTGTCTCCAGGTATAGTTCCCGTTGTCAAGGGCGGATGCTAACTATACCAAATAGAACAATGGTAGTTATCCGATAGCTATCCTAGAAATGATCATGTGATGTACTATACATATATATAACACGAATTATAACAATACAAGAACAGGAAGTCGTGTAATAAACTATCTTATACACATCTAACAACATCCCCTTGGTCGTATCAAGTGTTTGCATCCCATCCTTCGAATTACTCATACTCGGTGTGACGAGTCAGCTTGAGGAACATATACACTGTCCAGTTAACGAAGCATACACATCCTCTCAAACACGTTAAATAACACCAATATGGCAGTTTATTCAGACCGCTTGTTATGGAGGACTTACTATGTGCTGTTGCTTTTCGTTTCGGTGGACATAGCTTCATCAGGTAACGGTAAGGATATCTTAATTATATATTATAAATTTAGAATTTTTAAAACACTTTCTCAGACTTAATTAGATATACTTCTAAGCATATGTAAAATGATCCTTGTCAAATTAAAATTAATGAACATGTACAATAATTCATGTATATTTGTGTTTTAAGAGGTTTTTTTTACATAACCTCAGGTACATGTACATGGGTCAACATACGAACCTTATTATGGATAATATCACACTGGACGAAAGTGGATTTATTTTTTCAAAAAAACATGGACACAACATTACACTGCGCACGTACATCTTTACTGTATAAGCTCTTCAAGTTCGCAATAACAGTATAGCGTAACGTCATAGATCGTACATATATTAGCAGTGTCAAATAATTAAATGGGCATACTTGTTTTGCAGTTAGTGTAATTCTCTAACCGTTGGTTTTTAAATCAGACTTTGGAATGTTGTTGTTTCTTTCTTAAATATTTAATAAAGAACAGCGACTCTTTGTGAAGAAAGGCGATTATGATAATTAAATTACAAAGGCATTTTTTCACCTCTGTAGGGGTTCTTCATTGGACTGTTTAGTTTGAAATTTTGTAAAGAAACAATGATGATGTTATAGTTTAAGTACAAAAGAATAAATGATCATTAATATTTTGACCCCACAGTAGACATATGCTTAAAATAATGATGTCATTTACAGTTCAATACACGGAAGATAATTTTTTTTTCATTCATTGCATCAGCAAATATGTCAAAATGACGTTCTCCTGATATGTGTCCGAGTGGTGGTTTGTTTTCAGACTGTTAATGCGGATACAGTTCGAAAAATATATGACAAATCTTACAATCAATGTATTGCATTTACCTCCTACCTTAGTATAACTGGTTGGTTAAAACAACTTTTAAATTTTAAATAAATTCGTAATTGTATGCTGCGCTTTTAGTTTTACAACCAGTATCAGAAACATGTAATGCACAATATCCGTCTTTGTTTCACGATCTGAATGTCTTTGCAGTGCGACTGTATGGACATAAAACCAAGTACGAGGGAGGAATAGAGATATACTACGACTCCCTACAAACCTGGAACCCGTTATGTGGAGACTGCTGGACAAACTACTCCGCCAACGTGGCCTGTAAGGAACTGGGATTTAGGTTCGTCATACCGACTCCTATAACAACTGTAGTATTTATCACTCAAAGTATCACGAATACCTTGACTACTAAACACTGTAAAACGCAGGAGACTTTACCAAATTGTGTCTACAATCAAATGTCAAGTAAAATACCAAATTGTCACAGTTAAACAGAGAAAGATTATTATCTACACATTGTACATGTATTATGTTTGTGCGGAGACACTGTGCGTGTGATGTTTCGCCGCAGTGATAAATTAAAGTGTAAACGTTAAATGTACGCGGTATGAGGTTTGCATATCAAATGTTAATGTTACGTTAATGTTCTGTACAACACTGTTATATTAAGAGTTTTTCTGCGACACTTATTTATGTACATCAGTTTCGTAGATCAGCTTAAATTTTAGCTGTCTGTTACCACAGGGACCTGAGCATTTGTTACAGCTATATTTGGACCTAAACTGAGTTGTTCAGAGTCATTTTACATGTTTTATGGGTTTAGATCAACTTTCGGTAAAAATGACACCCCCAATGACCATATCTAGGAGAAGGGAGGAAAGCTCTCGATATTGAAATGTCAACCCCACCTAACTTTCTTGCATCAAAAACAACATTCTAGTTGATCTGCGGGAACATGCTTAGTACCGTTGGATAATGGATAATTGCTCTTTTAAAAACTCCTATATGCCCGTAAAATGTAATCTCCTGCCGCGGACATGAACTCCGTTTCCTCCAAAAACACACGCCATTTCAGAGTTTCAAAGTTTTTCGCAATAAGCCTAACACTTTTTTGAAAATTAATGAGGTTGACGTCAGCGCGTGCTGAAACATGCAGTTTTGGTTGGTTTAGCGAAAACATGACTGCACTTTCAGCCAATCACACCACGGGTCTCGGCAAGTGGCTGACGTCAACCTCATAAATATTCAAAAAGGTGGCAGGCTGACCACGAAAAACTCAATTATCATGTCTCTGTGACTGCTACGACACTCGAAGACACCCGTACATCTGTTTTGTAGATCAGCTTTAAGTTTAGCGATCTGCTACACAATGTTACTTTGCTTCGACACTCTCTAAAATCAGTATTGTAGAGTAGACTGTAAAAATAAGCAAATGTAAAAATAAGCGTTCTTAAAACCAGGGTAACGTTTCGCGTTTTTCTATGATACTCTTTCACATCAATATCCTGGGATATGTTAGTTGCTCAATTTGATAAGTGGTAAATCATTAGAAAAATCTTTTCAGTTGCTATATGCAAAACTGTTTTTTTATAAGCTGTGTATTACATTTCAGTGGCGGTATACGGGCAAATATACCTTTTAGTAGGCCAGGAGTAATAACAGCTTATTTTGACTGCCCTACTGGAAATGAAGCCAACCTTTCGAGTTGCGCATTTTACACATATCCACAATGCAATCCTTGTATTACAGCGGCAGGTGTTTTGTGTGCAGGTATGTATAGCATAGTCGTAATGTATTTAACAATCCTCTTAAAGCATGTTAACGTGACTGTCCGGAAACGCGGTACTTCATGTAAGTCGAAGTTGCTAA